CAAGAGGAGACGGATTCGAAGAAGACGATTTCCAATCATTATGAATGCGATCAACAACAAATCGAGGTTGTTTCTCGAGTACATTCAGCTTTCTTCACCTTTAAGGTGGTGACTGCGACGTTAAAAAAAATAACCATAACTATCGGCTAAAGTGATGCCGTTGAATCACCAGCAAACAAAGCGGCGCATCTTACAACAAAACAAGTAGAATTTCTCAAAATCTACTCAAAATCACAACCATTAGTGACTTCGATTATGAAATTTTTCCATTCAGATAAGTGCGTTTTTCGCAAAATTCATTTCTTCAGTTCAAAAACGATGGCAGCAGCTTCAGAAAAAGTTGCGTTGATGAAATGAAGAGATAACGACTTCTAAAAATATTTTCTTGAAAGCACGCAGATTTTTATTCGAGATTGTCACTTGTGTTAAACTGTTTCGTTGGAAAAATTATAGCATTTCTATATCACTCGTTAGAGTTCGATTAACATCAATTTCCTCAGTGCTTTATAATTTTCGCTCACATTTAACAGTGAAGTGTCTATGCTTTCCTCAAATGATCTGATCACTTGAATAGAGCGATTTGCCAGTTTTCAATGCGACAAAATTGTTCAGCAATTTTCTGTCATCATTTCATGTGCATTTTCTTTTCTCTCTTTATTCTCCTTACTCCATACAACGCCCATCGTTGGCTGTTATCATTCGTTCGGGAGAATTTTTTCGACTCGTTGGCGACAAACAAAAGAAAAGTGTTTTAATAAGCACATTCTGAGTTATACTAAACTTGGAAGCGTTGTGGAACATTCACGTTCAATGGAATTCTGCTGGATCAGCAGATTACAATACTAGAACGAACGAGGACTAGAGATGTATAACATGCACGCGTAAATGAATCATGAATCAGTGTGAAGGTGAAATCATCGAGTAACCTTTATTGTTCTCATCGTCAAGTGGTTGTTTGAGCGGTGTGATATCCTTGAATTGGCATAAGTATAGAACAACTTGATTTTTATCATTTTTTATTGGTGCTATATGAACCAACAACCATATTGCGGTCTCTGAAATTTCACGATTGTTTTCAACACCAACGCCTTCATATATGATTTTGATCCATTGCGAAATCAAACTGTAATATTTGTGAAATTCAATGCGATTCATTCGATTTGAAATTGTTTTTTACTCATCTGACGATGTTCACAAGACGATGCTGAAAAACGCTCATTCGAATCCATAAACTGGCACTCAGCTAACATGGCTTTGAATTCAATGAAAAGTCCTCAACATGAATTCAACAAATCATAACTATTTTTCTTGTTTAATCCGATTTCCGTCTGATCCGTTTTGCACATATCCAACGCGCTCTGTATCCTTTGCAGGGCATCCGGCTCACTGTGGTCACCATGCATGAACGACAATCTGAATGAATTCTTCGATAGTTGATCGCTCAAAATTCACAGCTGATCTATCTCATTCAACATATGCAATCAGTAACTCACTGATATTCAGTTCAGTTCTAGTAAGATCAGTTCTTCAGTGCANTTCAATTTAGGGTCATAACTTTCGTACGACAAGAAATGAATTGAAAGATATGATGAGGTGAAGAGGCCACTGGCCACTGTCGTTTGACTAATGTACGAGTTCCAAAAAAAAACAAATCATTTGCTATCTTGTATTAAGTGGCATCTTATGAATACTTGTTCGAAACGTCAATTAAGAGGATTCAAGGGATTTGTTGAATTGAATTCATTAGTGGAGCATCAGTTTCAACTGCTAAAGTTATCATTTGATAAAAGGAAATAACGAACGAGCATGGCTTCTGCATTATCTCAGCACGTGAATAACCAACCAACTTCGAGAATCCGTCATTGCAATAGACGATCGGATAATCAACAATCTGTGCGTTTGCGAGCACGAAACTGCAATCTGCAAATTGGAGTGTAGAACAATTTCACCTTTATCAGCAGCTGCACTGTGTGCTTTCTGAGTGCTAACAGTACACTTCTTGACATTCGATAACAATTATCAGCTCAATTTATTTTTCATCTTGTTCCCTTGGTCGTTTGATTATTCCGTTGGAGGATTTGCATTTTGAGCGGTCACGCTGCTCCCATCCAATACAGTCTTTTGGAAATAACGGCACCCCTTCATCGATTCACCAACTACTTATGATTACAGATCGCATGTGACAGCATCCCGAAATTTCCATCGAGATGTGTACTACAAGCATGGCTAAAACGAAGGCTAAACACCCACTTAGTTGACCTTGTCAGATTGATTGAACTTACCGCTAATTAGACTAATTGGATGTGAAAGTTAGATGTTGAGGAAAAACTAATTGGATGTTGAGGAATTTGACAACGTTTTAGAGCTACACAAAAGCTTTTTTTTAACTGAGATGTTTGGATGGAATGAAATGGTAACTTTGAAAATGTGAAGAAATGTGAAGCGAATGAAACGGCAAATATACCAGCATTATTACATCTGCGAATCACGTTCTCGAGAAAGGTATTCTGAGGTGCGACCAGACCTCGTTTAGCGACTGGCATATCAACGACGATCACATCTGACTTCAACCCAATTTCGACCTGAAATCTTCAACAAAAAAAACTTCCAGAACGTAACTGTTTCTCTGAATGATTTTTTCATCGAGCCTCGAACACCATGAAGATAGCTGAAAACGATAAACGGTCGCCAATGAAAGCGCTTTTGTTTCGTCGACATTAATTGATCGATGATTTCAAGCGAAGTCAGTGTATTGTTGATGAAATGATATTCGATGAACTGAACAACAGCAAAAAAAACGACAGTTCAAATTATCAACTAAAATTGCTCAATAATGGCTAAAGTTCAATTAAGCATTCGAGAAAGTCAACACTCACACGGTGGGTGCCTTGAATCAATCCTAAATGCGGGTTATGAGTAAGGCATGATGTCATAATCTATTGTATTCACTTAAGTTAGGCAACTTGACGAAAAAGTTTCTAATTGCGCAATTTTATCGAATTAAAGTGCTTTGCAACCGCAAAAAAACCGCTCCCTAAGCGAACCATCCATCATCACATTTGAATGTTCACGCTCATGCCTTTCGACTCCAATTTTATCTATTCGATCTCAGTTTTTGCAAAAGATTTTCTCTTTCGAGCTCGTGCAACAATTACATCAGAACGGTAGCAGCAGTTTGTTCAGTGGTGGACTTTTCTCACTAATTTTTGCACCGTACATCGTATAGCATCGATTTTTCTTTTTTAATCCACATTTTTAATTTCTACTTTTTAAGCGGGGACTTTTTTTTTCAAGACAATCACACACACTTGGTCACGGGTTTTGTTGCGAAGAATTTCATGGGAACGTTTACGAAAGAAAGCACTGCGAATGAAATGAGTGGAGTGGTTCTGTGAGGGAACGACTACTGATTCGAGATGTCTTTTTTGAATTTTCATGGACGAAATAGCCTTTTGGCTGCTAAAATAAGACTGCAAGCACATTGCAAGCAGCACTAGTGCACTTGTTGTAGCTCTTATGATTGATTGCAAAGTGTGCTCTAAACGGTTCTTTCCATGCCGAATCAGTGCTTCAAATTAATGAACATGAACCAAAAAAAGATGATTGCTTTCATGCGAATTGTCGACTGAGAGCGCAGTGTTCTGGCAAGATGATGTTTAATTGATTGCTCATGTAGAACGGAAATCAGTCACCACCGATTCGGCATGAAAGCGTCGAGTCGGAGGTAAACGAATCGAGTTTCATGCGTTTTTAAGAATATGGAACAAATCGTCATTTTCAGCTGACATATTGCTTCCATTTGAATTGTTGCATTTGGCAATGTAAACGAATTTGGATCGGATTTTTTTTCACCACATCAAACATTGCTTCTTGCACATTGCGACATTTTCTGTTCACTAGCAAACTTGAGGCAACATTGAATGCGATCGCGTTGCTTAACAACACTGTTGATACAGTTATTAGATAGATTGTTTGAACGAAATGGTAGCGATAAGTGGCTAGGAATCTAACGGAACAAACACAAACACAAGCAACATCCAGACGCCAGCAAGCAGCGGATCTTTGTGGTGTGTTCTGTTTTGTGATCCATTCTCATCATCAGATCCATAGATTTTGAAATTGATAAATCAAAATCATTGGTCTGCTTCAAAATCGCTTTATACAAAATCGGTTCACTTGACCGTTCCGCTGCATCAATTTTTGATGACTCTCATTCTGTTTATATTGAATTTTGTCAAACTAATCAGCTGTGATAAACGTGCAATAAGCAGAGAATCATCAGTGGTTTGCATGGCGAATATCTTTTCGACAAGGAAATGTTTTTTGATGTCATCCGTTTGGGTCATTCCCTTCTGTGTTCATTCATTCGATAAAGCAGTAATCAATATCGCATTAAATTAGGCTGAAAATTCAATTCGCAAACAATATTATCTACGAATATATTCATTCATTGGCTATTCGAGATAATGACTGCTGTTGATTTCGGACTTAGTTTTGATGCAATTGTTTCATTTAAATGATAATGAGGCTACACATATGAGCAGAGAATCTTGCGCACCGACAATGCATTGTTCCATACTGGGGCTCTCCTACAATACTTCAGCGACTCGAAGAAATCACTTGAACTAGTTTCCGCGCCGAGCAAGTTTGCGATCAAATGACAAAATCAGCAAGTTACAGTGAAATTATTTGATCAGTCGAATGATACAAAAATAGTTTATTAGGAGTAAAGACTCGAAAACTTCAAGCATTATGCGAAGACAGCCAAGAAGTAAGCTCTCGAAGCAGATGAAAAATGGTGTGTTGAAGTTTTTTGTACATGAAAAGCTTGTTTGAATCATGAAGGAACGCACTGCTGGTTGCATAGCACATCAACATCAAATACCATAGTGATATGGTGTGCTGTTGAAGAAATAGCAAATTCGTTGAGAGGATAAAGCGATAAGCCTGAAATTTTGGTCGCAAACTACACACAAATGTTATCGATGATACTGCTGAAATTGTTTCCATTCGTAAAATATGAGCAGCCCAAATGACTTTGTGTTGAGCACACACATCGCATGCAACAGAAGCTGGCTGGCCAAACTTTATTACAGATGTAATAAATGATTGAGTTCTTAGCCAAGCATTCTCGCAATTCATATCTAATGTGCACCACCACACGCTCCTAAATAACAAATTAGCACCGAATTGGAATCAACTTCACTTGCTGATGCTTTACAACAACACAGCAACGTCCTTCTCATTTTGAACACTATAAAATCAAATTTACCGTTTTACCTAATTCAAATATGGAACACCTAATTCAAATCGATGGAACACTTAATTCAAATAGGAATTTNAGTGATGGAGATGCTTAAGCTCAGAAAGTCGACTGCTTTAGACATGAGACGTTAGATGATAATGCTGGTAATGGCAACAGCAATCATATCATTGAGCGCAACGTTGTCAACTTGAAAGAGCTTCGATTGCGATCATCCACAGCGATAACAAACAATCACAGGTGACAATTGACGAGTGTCCACAAATGTTTATTGCTCATTGCTCAGTCTGAAGTTGCGTATTCTGTCGCCATTCTTGCTTATAATGCTAATCGACAAATCATTATCGCTGCAACGTTGTTTTGCCGGCCAATCCGTCATGAAACACCGCAATAATCATAATTGTCAGTGTTTAAGCAGATTTCGGTAAATGCGCTCGAAATTTTGATCAAACGTTTATCGAATGTTGTGGATAAGTTTGCATAAGCGCATAAGCGGATAGGATCGAGTCAGTCGCATGAATAATGTTATAAATTTATAAATGCGCCGCCGTGCATGGTAGTGTCTTCTAATGGCAAATATTGATAGAATACTTAAATGTTGCAATGTTGACCATATTTGCACTAATCGAGATGAGAGCACGCAATTACGAAGGCTAGAAAGCTGACGTTGCAAGGCAGCTGCAAAGGATCTGGCAACAAAATCGGGATGAGAATGATCCAAATGAATGAGATAAAATGAGGAGAGTGGACGATAAAGAAAGCAATCGAGCAGTGGTGCCAGCATCTAAGCTGAGGTCAAAACGCGTATTGCAACAAATTCATGGTTGGAATCAACCGCTTTATGGGCATCGAACATAGAAAGAAAATTTCATGATCCAAATTAGAATGTAGAGCAATTGAATGCAGTAGGCATGGAAAAAAATTTTAAATACATTTAATAGATCATGCAACGAAGCATTGGTGATGTGGATAGTGCGTCCCAAGGCGGCGACGTTAGTAAACATCATCGGAGAGAGAATAATGATTCTTTTGAGGAGGTAATTTCAGTTTGTTGCTGATAAGTTTACTGAAAAAGTGTTGCAGCCACTCTGATAGATTGTCACGTTCCAAATGTATAGAGATTGTCACATACGAAATAGATAGATATATTTCCAGGCTGAACACAACAGATGAGCGCATTGAAACTTTACAAAGTCTCTCAAATATGAATGAGCGCTATTCGTGCCATTTATCGTCAAAACCATAAATATGCTGCTGCAACTCGCCATTCCGAGACATATGTTAGCACTAAGGCGGCGATAATCGAAATTCAATGAAGATACTTTTGGTATGAGTTAATGCTATGAACCACAGTACAAGACGAGTATAAAACGCTATCAATTCATCTGAAACTTGACTAAAATGTGGAACATTCACTTCTTTGGTTCTGAGCATAAGTCAAACATTTTTCGCGTTTTTTTTTTTGATTGCGTCTATTGCGCATTGATATGCGATAGACGCAATCAGAAAAAAAAGTCCTAAAAGGTGTATGGCTTCGTTGCTAGGCATACCCGCACCTAATGGATTTTTTAATGAGAGTGAAACCTCATGAAATTCAAATTTGATAGAAGAACATCCAAGGTGATCAATATATCACAATTTCATTAGGATATCGTGAATAAATCTTATTTCTATTGTCTGTGTTGTCTTATTTTAGATATTTAGTTGGTACATCTTCTAATTGTAAGCAATCGAGCCAATACTTTTTCGATGTTGGAATGACTACTATTCTGGATTGCGTCTGTGATCTTTCCAGTCTGAAAAGATGTCTATCTATCATTCAACCACTCATTGAAAGTTCTTTAGAAATCAACACAGCTGTAAAGATGCACTGCACCATTTGAACGTCGAATGCAATGAATTATTCACTTCAGATCTTTTGTTCACTGGATAAAATGGGATGTAGGCATCGAATGCTTCGGATAACTCGCAAGCGATCATCTGATTCCATAGTTTAGACATTACTCAACACTCTTCTCGAAATTATTTTGCAATTTCGAATGGAAGTATATTGAACAATTTTTCGAATTTCGTTCTATTAAAATAAATTTTCCAAGAATGAATTCACTGAAAAAAGCATCATTAGTGAAAGAGCAAAGAGCAGTGGTTATGAAAAGTCCGTTACGGGCATAATAACGTTCAGAGTTCGTCGTTCTTTAAGGTTGACGTGCAATTTAATCTTCATAATTCAATCGTTTTATCAGTTAAAAAACAACCGAAACGTTGTATTCCCTGTTTCTTGGTGGGTTTTTATAACTGGTTGAATTTACTTGTGACAGTTGAAAGTTCGGATTAGGACTGTTCAGGCCGGAATGCCTTTTGAAAGCTCACCCAGCAAGCATGCACAACTGACTCGC